GTGTTCACAGCCATCCCTGGTGCCCGACATGGGCTTCACCCCTGCCTGACTTGCTTAGTGAAGACCACAGGTATATCTGTAAGCAGTGGCTGAAGCTAAAGCTCAGCCAGAGGCAATACTTCTGGGCTGGGGGAGCTCAAGGCCAAGCTCCTGTCCTGCACCTCCCCATGTGCTGCCAAAAGGCTGGCATGGCCACCCTCCTCACCCAGCCCAGAGAGGCGCGTTGGCTGCCGCCGCGCGGTGCTGGGCCGCTGGCACAGGACTCACCGTCGCACGGGTTCACGGCCACGGCTGCTGTACTGCCGGCCACGCAGCCCGACAGGAAGGACACGTAGAATGGAGCCTTCACGTCAGGGTCCTTCTGGCCCAGCTTGTTCAGGTTTGCGAACAGCGGGAAGTAAACGATGGAGAAGGGGACATCTCTGCAGAGCGGGCAGAAGAAGCAGAGAGGACAAGATGAGCGAAGCCAGCACGTGACGTGCACACAAAATAAAGCCAGAGCCAGACCCCATCAAGTCCTTCTCACCCTCACTCCCCTGGGTGCTCAGTCCCCAAGGGCGCTCGGCGGCGCTGGGCCCTGGCACTGTCCTACCTGAGCAACGTGGCTCCCAGGCCCTTGTAGAGCCCCGCGACGCCTTTGCTGCGCAGCAGCTCCCTGGTGATCTGCGTGGCGGTGGTGCGTGCTTCCACCACGGGCTCCGCTGCGCCTGTCGGGGCCGACAGCTGGGCTGCCATCAGCTTCTTCTGCGCCGCTGCAGAGCAGACAGAGAGCGCAGGTCAGCAAGGTGCTCTCCCTGCCTGGCGCCCGGCACGGGGACACAAGAGAAACACCCATGGCACAGGCCAAGGCCAACCACGGGCCCTGCCAGCTTTCATCACTCAGCCAGGTAGCGTGTTCCATGCCCAGAGCTGGCTGTTACACACCACAGCTATACCCTCCTACCTGGAAATTTTTACCAAGAAGGGGTTGTCTCTGCGGGGTGGAAAACAGCTGCCACAATTAGGCATTAAAAAGAGGATGTGCTTCCTGAACTCAGCAG